TTACTCCCATAATGTTTGTGGCCATTATTGCACCTGCATGTATATCTTGTCTAGCTGGTCATTATTGTTGATTACAGGTTCACAGGTTGGTAAAGATGATGATTATTTTTCTCCTCTGGTCGAGTGCATAGTACCTTCTAGCATTATGAAAGCTATCCAGTAGAGATAGAGCTTCTAGATCAGTACCAGCTTGATTTCTTCTTGTTCTATGACTCAAGTATGTAGTGTCTTCATCAGTCTCTAGGCAGGACAGTAAGTGGGGTGTTGATGGGCAGATGGACAGGTCTCGGGTGCTTGTTCAGGGTTGGGTTGCAGGATGCCACACAGTCCCTAGATAGCGTGGTGGGTGTAGATTTGCTTATTAAAGCACATTTATATTTACAGGAAAGAAAAGAGCAGAAAGTATCCCTTGGTGTTCCTGTACACTCATTCTCCTCCACTTTCTGTCTCCAGCTTCTCAGTTTTTCTTGTGTTCATGTGCTGTTTTGTTATGATTGGCGAGTAAATCTTAACACATCATTAGTGGCTAGGGCCCATAGTTTACATGCGAGTTCATGCTGTGTTGCACAGTTCTGTGGGTTCTGGCAAACACACAATGTGATGAATTCTCCACTGCAGTGTTTTGAAGAACAGTTTCATTGCCTTAAAATCCCCTGGGCTCCACATGCTCACCGCCCCCTCCACCTCCCAAGCTGCTGAAAACCATGGGCTTTCTTTTTACTGTCTATTATTTTACCTTTCCCAGAAGGTCACACAAGTTGAGTCACATCCCTTATTTTCTTTATGACTTTTCTCGCTCTCAAGGTGCTTAGAAATTATACACCATAAATATATTATACTAGTGGACAGGTACACAATTAAATAATCATCTTGGTACACATTTTTGAACAAAGTAAAATTTTAAGCTCTATCTGAAGCCTCTTCACTACAAAGATGAAAGGTTTAATTAAGCTCATTGCTTACATCTTCCTTTCTGGCTCCTCAATATCCATGTTTAATTGTATTGACTTGAATTTCTACTTCTGGTTTGAAAATAAGTTGTTTAACCATGGTGTCTTCTAAGTCTGGATGTCTCTTTAACAATTCTTTAAATGTTACCAGTCCACCATCACTTGGGCTGAGCAGTATGCTTATGGATTTCACAGGTCCTTGCTTTTTATTCTACCACATCTTACTCTTTTCCTGAGGCCTTTATTCTGATTAGTTTGTTATTTCCCAAGACACTTCCTCGAATAGTTTTGTTAATTAATAAGGGGTGTAGAGGTGACAGGCTTTCTGGGTGGTATTAAAGTGGGTTTTCTTTGGAACCTGGTTCATGGAAGTAGGGCAGTGGGATGACCTTGGAAGGCTACACCCACTTCTGGTTCCAGTGGGTGTTCTCAGGTTTGATTCATTGCCATGTGAAAAAAATCTCTGCCTCAAGTTCCAGTCCACACAAATTGAGATTGCCCAGCTACCTTCCTGCCATGGTGAACTGAGACTATGAACCTAAATAAATCTGTCATCCCTTGTTAAGTTGTTTATGCCAGGTATTCTGTTACAGTGATGAAAAAGTAATCCAGGAGACTTAAAATTTTCTATTTATCCTGTCAATGAACCCTTTTCATGAGAATATGACAAGGTATGTACTTTTTTCCATTAAAATTTCCTTCAATATGCCAGGCTTATTTCTGTCTTAGAGTCTTTACTCTTCTCTCTCTCTCTCTCTCCTCCTTCAGATAGTGTAAGGACTATAATTAGACCTCATTTTTTTGCTAACTACTATATCTAAAATACTCCCAATTATTATTATCGACCACATTTCATAGTCTGTTTTATTTTCTGAAGTAGTCATACTTATCTATATGTACTGACTTTCTTCCTCCTCACACCAGAATATGGATTCTATGAAGGCAGGTGCCTTTGTTCTTTGACTGCCATGTCCTTGGCTCCTGTAATAATGCCTACCATACAGGAAGAGCTGAATGAATAGAGGATAAAAATATGAAATACACATTTACTTTTTCTAGACTTTTCCAAAATATTTCCATGTGATCAATTTTTTAATTTTTAAAACTTTTATTATTTTTATTTTATGTGTATGTGTATGTATTGCCTGCGTGTGTGTAAGCGTACTCATGTTGTGAAGTGCCCATGGAGGTCAGAAGAGAGTGTTGGATTCCCATGGAACTGGAGTTACAGACAGTTGTTAGCTGCCATTTGGGTGCTGGGAATCAAACCTGGGTCCTCTGCAAGAGCAGCCAGTGATTTTAACCACTGAGCTAACTCTCCATCCCCTTTATTTAATTTTTTAAACTGTGGCACACACCTTTAATCCCAGCACTTGGGAGGCAGAGGCAAGTGGATGTCTGTGAGTTCAAGGCCAGCCTGGTCTACATAGTAGTGAAAGATTTATCGTCCTCTTTTTTTTTTTTTTTTTTTTAAAAAAAAAAAAAAAAAAAAAAAAAAAAAAAAAACCCAAAAAACCAAAAAACCAAAAACCCCCACAAAAAAGCTTCTTAATATTGCCATTGATACTTCTGGTGTACTTCACAACTTTTAGTGAGAAGTTAAGTAAACACACATGCACACACACATACAAACACACAATGGCAAATGCTTGCATACAAAATGGAGTTGCAGGAATTCTAGCATATGGAAAAGTTGAACTATTCAGTAGATTTAATGAAGCTCACAAAAATCCCTGGTGTGTTTGGTAGAACTTTCTTCTGTTTCACATTGTTTAAATTATCTTTTGAAACACTGTTAGTTCTTATTTCTGTTTACTGGCTTGTCACAAGCAGAGGATATTAAATGTTGCTTTTGTTGTGTCTTGTAAATATGGTTCAACAGATAACAAGATTACCAGTGTAAATGGATCTGTTTTGTTAGATATTGAGCTTAATATGATTTGGTTTGGCCAACACCACCAGGCTTTGCCAATGGACACTACCTTTGAAATCTAGCACTAGTGTTCAGGCCATTTTTTCAGCTGTCTTCTCTGCAGCACGTGGTTAAGAAGCCTGGAATCTTTGCACTGGTTTGTGCTCTCGTATTCTGTTGCCTTTTGAAAAAATATTTATTATTTTTATGTTATGTATGCATATATTGCCTGCGTGTAGATAAGTGCACCCGTGTCATGCAATGAATGCCCTTGGAGGACAGAAGAGGCTGTCAGATCCCCTGGAACCAGAGTTACAGACAGTTGTTAGCTGCCATGTGGGTGCTGGGATTCAAACCCGGGTCTTCTGCAAGAACAACCAGTGTTCTTAACCACTGAGCCATCTCTCTAGCCCATTGCCTTGTTTAAAGAAATGGGGCTGAAATGATAAGCTATTGTGACTAAAGTTTGTGATTAGAAAGCTTTATTCCATTTACACATAATAAGCTTATGAAGCAAAAGTTTCCAGCATTTGCTAATAAATCAGTTTTAGCTTCCAGGATACAATGACAACCACAAAAGTCATTTAAATTGTATTATGGTTGAAAAGACAAAATTAGTAAGATTATATAAATAAATTAACACAAAATATATGCATTTTGTATTAATAAGCATAATAATATATAAATAAATTATATATAAATAAATATATATATAAATATATAAATAAATATAAAGTTATAAAGAGCAAAATTACATGAAGAGGAGACACATGGCACATCTGTATCCTTCTAGAATAATTAAGCATATGTAGGGTCTGGGTAGATAGTTCTGTTGGTGAAGGGCTTGCTTTGCAAGCCTGAGGACCAGAGTTCAAGCCCTAGAACCCACATAAAAAAGCTGGGTGGGGGGCTGAGAGATGGCTCTGCATTTAAGAGTGCTTGTTGCTCTTACAGAGGATTTGGGTTCGGTTCCCTCTACCCATATTATGGCTCACAACCATCTGTAACTCCAGTTCCAGGGGATCTGACATTCTCTTCTGGCATCTGTGGGTACCAGACATGCACATAGCACACAGATATACATGCAGGCAAACACTGATAGACATAAAGTGAAAAAATAAATCTTTTAAAAAGCTGGGTGTGATGGTACATTTGCTTGTAATTCCTGCATTGGGGAGGTGGAGACAGGTGGATTCCTGGAACTGGGTGGCCTGCTAGCCTAGTGGAATGGTAAATTCCAGGCTTTGGAGGATTCTATCTCAAATAAACAAGTGTTATGGCCTGAGTGTGGAGGTCAGAGGACAACCTATTGGAGTTAATTCTCTCCTTCTATCATGTGGGTCCTGGGGACCAATTTCAAGCCAGGCTTGGCAGCCAGTACCTTTACGTATTGAGCCAACTTGCCAGCCCACTCATAACTTTTCAGTGATAACCACAGTTAAGATTTTGGCAATTTTCTTATCATGTTTTTCCATTCAGTTGCATGAGTTACTTGTGTATAACAGATAAATTCAAAGCTTAGCTGCTTAATGCAATAAACTCATCCCATAGCTTCTGAGAATCAAGAAGGCAGAGCGGCTTAGTGCAGTGGTTCTGGAGGGAAATCTCCTATGAAGTTGCTCATGAGACCAGTGGCAGTAGTAGTTCTATGACAGGGCTGGAGAATGCCTTCTGACTCCATTCATTGCACTTAACAAGGAGACTGTAGTTCCTTACCAGGCATGACTCTCCACAGAAATGCTGGCATGACATAGAGGCTCCATGCAAGAAGTGGACACTGGGGAGGGAGGGGGAAATGGAGGGACTGAGGGAAAAGGGAGGTAGAGGAGACCCCTAGATAGAAGCTATGGTCTTATAATTAACCTCAAATATGATCATCTCGAATGCTACACTATTATAATGCTCATACTGACTGAACGTAGGAGATGACAGTACTGGGTGCTAATGCCACAAACACTGGGGACATGAGAGGCTAGATAGCATGCAACAGCCCAGCATGAGCTTTTCACCATAGTGTAAAAAAATTTTCCTATAATGTTACTTCAGGGATTGTATTACATCATTGTAGGCCTTCAGACTCAAGTGCACAAGGATGCTATACAACTATGAGCTTATGCTTTCTTTTTCTTTTCCAACAGAGACGGGAATTTATTCATTCTTCCAAATCAGCACCCTTTCAAACTACTCACCTCAGGAACCTGTCGACTCATTCTGATGATGTCAGGCTATTGTCACAAACGTGCCAGGAATTCTTTTAGGATTAAGACTGGAATCTTGCAGCACATTATTAACAATAAATTCAAAGGTGAGATGAGGGTATCACGATAGCAATAGAACATACACTAAATTTATTCTTGTTCTTCTGTTGCTCAGTTTGCTATACCAAAGCAGACATAGTATTCAAAAACGTGGTCTTGATACCAAACCATGGCTTAGCAAAATTATGTTTTATCAGAATGAATTATTATATGAAAAACTAACTGAGAGAACTTTATTGCTTTAGAGAGACTGCAGCTCCTTAGGCTTTGAATGTTCCCCCTCCCCTTAGCTCTTAGCCCCAGCTAAGCTACTTGCTTAGTATCCCACAGTATTCTTTCTTTAGGCTTAGTTCTTAACAGAAGTTCTATATTAGGGGCTGGCAAGAGTGTTCAGCAGATAAAGATATTTGCTGCCAAGTCTGAGGTCTTGAGTTCAATCCTCGGGATCCATATGGTGGAAGGAGAAAACTGGCTCTGGAAAGCTGTCCTCTGACCACCACATGCCTGTGTGGCATGTACCCCTACCTACTACCCCACCCCCACAAAATAAATAAAATAATAACGTAATTAAGAAAAAATTCCTATATAGATAAAAATCTACACAGACCAGAGTATATTGTATTTACAAAACCCTTAATTTTTCTGGAAAAAGGAAATTGTGTACCATGAACCAATCTTATTTGATCTCATTTTCCATGCGCCTGGTGCATAGTAGGTACTTATTAGCTAGTTGCTGAACTGAAGATACAATGAAATTCTGATGTCATAAAAAGCCACTTAAGCTAATGAGACTTTACTGGTGCTCTAAATCTAATATAATTGTACTTGGCCCCAGGACTTTGTCTTTTCAATTCTATGTTATGATGATATCATAGAATTCTTTTACTTTTCTTGAGAGTCCTGTGGAAACATTATTGAGATTAAAATAGATAGCATGCTGAGAAACAGAGATATCTCTCCATCTCTCAAATTGTCCTAACAAAAAGCAATCACCACCCAAACAGATGGAATATCCTCAATCCTATCAGAAATTTTCTAGAACTAGATTCACATTCTGAGTTTCCATGAAGCTGTAATAGGCTTAGTTGTATCTTCCTTTCACTAAAAAGAGTTGCAGTTATTGGTTTTCTTTATGACTTCTAGAAAGAGGATGTGTGTGTGTGTGTGTGTGTGTGTATGTGTGTGTACTATGTGTGTGAGTGTACGATATATGCAATCATTGTCTTTTCGAACAACTGCTTGGGGGTTAGGATGAAACAGTGGGGAAATAAACAAACTGCTACCATTCTTCAGAAAGCAAATGTTACATTAGCAGTTCTATTTTGGAGGAGGAAAATAATCCAGTTTCAAGGCTGGCATAAATATTATGCTCATCACTCACTCACTCCTTTACATAGGAGGCAGAAAATTCCATGATTTCATGCCTAGTCCTCCAACAAAGACATGGCTTGGCCTTTTCCTTTACTTAATTTCTTCCTGTTTTAAGGTGATAATTTATTCTTCTAAAAGGAATTAGTGGCAGCTTCTGATGTTGAAACATTGAGACCAGAACGTTAAAAATTAAAGCAGAACAAATTGTCATGAGGGGAATAAAATTCCCTGGGAGTTCTATAATGAAAGAAGTCACTGGGCACCCAGAATGATCTAAGTAGCATGCCTTTAATGAGGCGCTGGTGAAACTGTGGGGAGCTAGCCATTCTCCCCATGTAGATGAACACTTCCTGTCAGCCGCATCTCAGTCCTTGGTTGGTTTTAGCTCTCTTTCTCTTCCTCTTCCTCTCTCCTGTTCTCTTTCTCTTTCTCTCTTTTTAAAATATAACTTCATGCTTATAGAACAACTGAAAAAGTATAATAAGAATTTTTGAGTAGCTTTGGCATTTTTCTTGATTTTCTTACCTGATCATTCTCTCCTCTCTCTTTCTCATATACACCTTTTTAACCATTTAAAAGTAAGACGAGGACACTGACCCCTTATTATAAAAACATCTCCAAGTATATATTACCCACCAACAAAGAAAACACAGTCTCTTACATTCTCACAATACAGTCATCAAATTTTGGACCTCATAGTTTTCTATTCTATATATCCTCCTTAAAATTTGTCAATTGTGTGACTGATGTCTTACAATAAAAGATATTTGGGGGGTCCAATGTCCAATCTAAGGAAGGTGTGTTGCCCTTAGTTTTAAGCTCTCTTTAGCCTCTTGTAATGTGGAATTATTGCTCTTTCATTCTTTTTCTTACGGCCTTGATAATGTTGAAGGCTACTTTGTAGACTATACCTCAGTCTGGGTTAGTCTGATGAGATCTAAGTTATGACTTTTGCTAGGACTGTATAGGAATAATACTACATCCTCCTTCATGCAGCATGTCAGGAGGTAGATGAGACTGGCTTGATCTAATACCATGATGTTCACTTTGACTATTCTTTTGGAAATCCTACCTTCTGTTCTGTGGTGTGAGACCACATGATACTTTCTGAGACTCTTGGACACAGAGTGAAGGTTGCGCTGTACTGGTTAGTCTTCATTTGTCCCCACTCGAGATGTGTTTTCTGCCCTTCCTTCTTTTCTCCGAACCCTGAGAGGGTAATCCCTGGTGACCATATCACCCGAACTTCTCAACAGATTCAGCAAATAATAAATACCAGCAGGAGATCACAGTAGGAGAGGAGAACAGTTCAAGCACCTTGACCCGCCTGTAACCCTCATCACTTTGCTTTGGTCCTGTGTCTTTGGCAGTGGCTGTCCTTTTATAACCACAGCTCCCATTTTTATGTGACTCATCTTGTCCTCTGCTCACAGACACAGGGCCTTCCTTCCCCTGCTAGTATCTAGCTGCCTCAGCATGCTTTGCAGCTGTCTTACCTCTGCCCACACATCTAAAAGCGGTCCTTTGTTAGAGATGCTTAGTTGACTTGAGTTGAATTCTGTTTGGGGCTGTGATTCTTACTGGTCCATCTCTCATTCCTTGTGGTATTGGGAAACAAATGGAGAAAGAGCCACGCTTGAGAAAAGTGTGAGCACAAATGCCAGCGATACAACTTCCCGCATGAAGAAGAACAAAAGCCAATTGTTGATCATTTACTGGAAAGGCACTAAGTAGATCCTGAAGGATTGCAAATTGTTATTTGTTTTCCCTTGACAGGCGTAGAATGGAGTTCAGCTGATGAATAAGAGGTCAGGAGGGGAGAATGCTGTAAGATAGCAATAAGAAAATGTTTGCTCGGCGGTTGCAGAGAAATCCAAGGGGACTTACATACATGAACTGTTCTCCTTTTGTCCAGCAGGTTACCCAATCTCTTGCACTGTTCTTCCTCTGGTTTCTATCTTACCTCACTATCTCACCGTCATTTCATTGTACAGGTAAAGACATACAGCCTCAGTCCTCCGAGCCTGAAGCAAAAAATACAGACATGCTGGGATTCTAACACAGTTTTATATGAAGTCCGAAGCCCAAGTTCTCCTTCACTACAAAACAGTAGGAGTGAGGAAGAAAGTTCCAGAAAGCAGAGATTTGGTGGGAGAAATATCAAGGAAGAAGAAATGTTTGGATTCACTACATTTTTTGGGAAAAAAAGCATACAGGAAGAATCAGAGCACAGGGAAGGCTATGGGGATGATACAGGTCAGCTTCTTGTCACAGAAACCAGGATGTTTTATGCCTTTGGTAAAAAAGTCAATATGGTGCAGATGAAAGATTATGCAGGATGAAAGTTGGCTTCCACCAGGCTACTGTTGTCCAGACACCTTGTTAATGGTTGGTGAACATATCCTGAATTTAATGAGTCACTATTTTTATAGCCACCAAGTTAGGAAAAGATAACGCTTAGATAAGAGCTAGTTTAATGTTTTATCATTGTATATCCTAAGTTAATAACAATTAGATACAAATTTACTTAGATTTGCATACCACTTCTCCAAAGAGTTAAAGGCTGATAGCCAATAACAGATAAGATAAATCTGAATAGAGGAGTAAAGGTCTGTTTCAGAATTAAACACAATATCCAAATATTGTTATAGCACAGTACAGTTCAAAGTGCTTGAAATAAACATTATTCCATCCTTACACAATTTTATAAACAAGTACTGTTAATACTATCAACATTTTACAGCTGCCCTGCTCTGAGTTTACTCAGAAGGGGCAGGGTACATCTCCCCTGCTGGGGCCTGTGGCCTTCCTCTAGGTCCCTCTACCCCCTGCAAGGCGCTTTCTTCTGCTCCTCACTTTCAGCTGACACTTTACCTGTACATGCATTTGTTAGCTGATATGTAAGCCAATCACTGGTGATGACTTAAAATACCATCTTTCCTTGAGGGCTCTGAGTTTAACAAACAGGTCTGAAATGAAGAAGTCTTTCCATATTCAAAGAAATGAGCTTTAATGAGCTCAATCACAGATACTTTGGGCATCATTTTCTAGGACAAGGAAATCCCACAGGTCACCCACTTATAAAAGGACTCATTGAACAGTCCCCAGAGGAGCAGAGAATGGATGTAAACCTTCTCTGAGGCAGAGCAGGTGGAGAGGAAGCACTTTGGTTTGCTGCTTTCATTTTCCCTTTGGATCTATTTGCTTATCTGTGAAGTAGCCAAGGATGAGAGGGGTGGACTCTTGAGGCTTCTGGGCTTTATTGTGCTGACCGGCATGGTGTTCATGCCCTCACCTCCTCTATTTTTTAATTTTAATTATTTTTTTTTGAGACAGGGTCTCCCTGTAGCTCCAGCTACCCTGGAACTCCCTATGTAGACCAGGCTGGACTTGATCTCGCAGAAATCCATCTGCCTCTGTCTCCTGAGTGCTGCGATTAAAGGTGTGTACTACCACGCCTGGCTATTTTTTCTCAAGAAATGATAGGAAATAGGATGGACAGATGGCTCCCATCATCAGTTCACAAAGAGGATAATGCCACTCTACTTACTTGATACAAATAGTAATATAGAAATGCATACTTGAAAGGCTATTTTCCCAATTATAATGGCATCTGACATCTGCCTCTCCCACAAAGATGTCCAAAGGAAAATGAAATTGATTTTCTGGTCTTTTGTAAAATGCAGCTATTGTCTTGGATACAACAAGTAATTTATTCTAGGTTAGCAGCAATATGTTCACATATTGAGTTTAGCATAGAATTCTTGGCATGAACAGAAAAGTAAATGAGTTGTTAGCTTTACATTCTCTATTTTCTAGGAAATCATATGAAAAAAATTAGGAATGGTAGGAATCTTTCCTTCTCACCTAAACACTATACTTAGATTAAATTTCTACTCTTAAAACTTCATTAAATTAAATTTCAACATGTAAAACCTTGGGGGATATTTGAACGATATACAAACCATAATAAATAAATAATAAGAAAGTGAGATTCTTTTCTTCCATTCTAACAGAATTAAAGCATAGATTAATTCCCCATAGGGGATTGCAGATCAATAGCTTGTTTCTTTTACCCTTATCTGAGATTGAGTATAAATTCCTGAAGCTGATTTAATTCTTTATTCTCTGTGTGTGATATGTATCTGCATGTATGTGTGGGTGTGCTGCATGCACACAGAGGCCAGAGGAGGGTGTGTAGTGTTCTTCTCTATCACTCTCCCCCTTGTTCCTTTGAGACGGGGTCTCCCTGAACCTGAGGCTGGAGCTCACGGTTTTCAGTTAGGTTGCCAGCCAGCAAGTCTGAGCAAGTCCTCCTGTCTCTGTCTCCCAGACTCTCATAGTGCTACGGCTACAGGTGAATGAGACAGTGCCTGGCTTTTTGTGTGGATGTTTGGATACTAACTCAGGTCCTCATGGTTGTGCAGCAAGAGTTCTTGAAAACGGAGCTGTCTTTCAACCTCTAATTCCTTATTCTTACATCTTGTGTATGTTCACTTCTTTCTTCATTCTACAATATTATGAGTAACCCAAAGGACTTAGGAATGATAATGTGAATCCTCCCCTCCCCATCTTATCCTCCTAAGCAAGGTAACAGTATTTCAGGGCTGATGTGTGTCCTTAGTTCGTCACACTGGTCAGTCTCATTTCAACCCTAGCCAGGGAAGTGTACATCCCTAATCAATCAGTGTTTCTTCATTGTACATTAGCAGTGACCCAGAAATTGCTGAGTTCCAAATTCAAGCTTTACAGAATTTTCATTCTTTTCTTTTACATTAAAGTTAAAATTTAGCAGGGAGTGATGGCACACATCTTTAGTCCCAGCACTTGGGAAGCAGAGGCAGTGAGATTGAGGCCACCCTGATCTCCATAGAAAGTTCCAGGCCAATTAGGGCCACAGGGAGATTTTGTCTCAAAAAGACCAAAAGAAGGTTAAAGTTTAAAGAACATTAAAAGGTAAAGAAAGATAAATTTCATATGTGGCTCATGTTTTGACCATGCTACTCATAGCTTTGGCATCTGGGGTTTTGGTAAATTAGATTGAGATTATCTTTTACAAACTGTGGTTCACTTTCCAAGAAGTCAAATTATATTTCCTGTCATCTTTCTTAATTACCTGTCAAGCACAGTTTCTTCTCTCTCAGCCTAGAACTGTACAGTGAGGGAGGTATAAGCCTCAGCTGATCCAGTCACTATATACTAGGAAAACAAAGCAGCTAAAATCCATGCATGTTGTCAACAGCTAAGTCTTGGAAAAATATTGTAAAGGCAGTAGCTATTTCCTTTTGACAATTGCTGGCTTTCCAGACTCTCAACCACTAAAAATCCTTAACAAATGAATAAACTCCATCTCGCTGTATGATGTGCAAAGCTTGATGAGTCATGAAGCCCAGAAAAGCACAATAGTCCATTGCAGGCTGTGAAGATGTGTTAAGTAAGATCACAAAAGAAGCCTGCTTCTTGCTTGTAGCTCAGCCTACATATCCTGGCTGTGAATCTTCATGGCACATTTGGGTTCTTGGCATGGTTCTCATTTCAGTCTTATGAGTCAGGGATTATGTATCTCTACTGGGATGCTATAGAAGCAGGTGGCATACAAAAAACAGAAAACAAGAACAGGTGCAGTGAGAAATCAAATGTTTTTTTTTTTCCTCCCAGTGAAGGAAGGAGAGGGAGAGGAGGAGGAGGAAATACGAACATCTTGGGAATTTCCTCTGGTTGTTTGGTGGGCAGAGTGACAGCCACAAATACAGCACCGAATGAGGTAATAATCCAGTAGGAATATAAATCAATAAACTACACCTCAAGCTCCGTTTGGTTTCTGTACTTTTTTCTTGGAGAGTGATATTGCTGGTTTGGGATCTCTCTTTGTGAAATTATTCTAGCTCCCTCTGAAGATGTCTGTCTTTCTTCATTGTGTTTTTCCATTCATCTACTTCCTCGAAAGGAGTAAAAAAGTAATCAGAATACACCCTCCAACACACAGACACACACACACACACATACACACATAGAAACACACACATAGAGATACACACAGACACACACAGAGACATACACAGACACACACACAGACACACAGACACACAGACACACAGACACACAGACACACACACACACACAGAGACACGAACACACAGATACATGCACAGACATGAACCGATGCTGTAACTTCCCACACATCTTGTTCAAGCTTGTTTCTTCTCTGAAAATTACCATCTGAACCATCTGGTAAACCAATGCACAAACATTCCTAGTTAAACTCCTCTCTTCCACAAAACTTTCCAGTGGACACCTTTGGACTCCTTTCTGTCACTATTGTGCAGATTTCATATACATTTTTTGTCTATTTTTGTTCTCCACCCAGAATGTGAGCAATTCCAATTAACCAGTATCTTTGGCAAATGTCTTACAGTCACACAGCCAAGAGCAGAATGCACACAGGGACCCTCAACAAATATTATCCAGAGGCGTGGGTTATGGGAATAAAGTAGAATTAAGTAGAGTTAATAACTTATTAAAAAGAAGAGGGAGAAACAAGGATGTTGGGAAGGCGGAGATGGTCAGCTTCAGGCTTATCTAGCAACCCATCTGCTCATGGAATGTCTTCACCTGTTTCAAAGTGAATGCTTATTTGTTTATACATCCAACAGCTGTAGGGTAAAAACATTCCAACAGATACTACAGTAGCTGGAGACTGTGGTCAAGGAAACAGGTGAGGGTGGCCAGATTTTAGCAATAAGTTTCAAAGAAGTCGACACTGGGCAAACAAGATTGTCCACCACTGGGTGGAATGGAAGCAGAGGACATTGGCTTGAAGGAAACACATCATCATTCCTGATGCTCCACCTGCTTCTCATCTCCTTAGATGAGGATCCAAAGTTCTTTCAACTGGCTGTGTCGTCAGCGTCATTCCAACCTGTTTGCTGTACTCTGTCCCAAGCCAGGCCCTGTGCTGTGGCTCTAGCAAGCTCCCACTTCATAGGCTTTGCCTCTTCAGCTCACTGTACTCTTTCTCCAGACACCTGCATGCCTTTTCACTTGATTTGGTTCCAGCCCTTAGTTATCACCTTGCCAGGATAGGCCCACCCTGGACATCCCATCCAAAATCACCCTCTTTTTCTGTCACTCTTCCAAGTGTTTTTTATATTATTCTCACTTCCTGACTGTACATCTATCTCTGTGCACGTACTCTTGCACAGTCATGCATTGTTTCACAACAGGGACATACCCGAGAACTGTCTCATTAGATGATTGAGTCACCATGTGAACCTCACAGCTTATGTCCACAAGCCTAGGAGGTACGGATTGTTCACACCAAGGCTCTGTGCTTCTATGCTTCAAACCTGTAATCACAAATCAGGTGACTACTGAATACTAAAGGCAGCTATAACATTGTATATATTGTTTACAAGCACATTTAAGCATAGAAGAAATGAAGCACTCTGTGATAGGAGTTTTCCAGCTCCATTATAATCTTCTAGGATTATATAGTCGATACTTAGCTAAAATGTCATATGTGATGGAAGACTACATACATACATATGTTCATACACATGTATTTGTCTTTCTGCCTGTTTGAATGTGAACCTCTTGCTGGTTGTATTATCAGGTCTTAGTTCATAGTCGACTTGTATTGAATGTCTGTGAGACAAATGACCAAAGTAGATAACTCGTGTGTGTGTGTGTGTGTGTACACATATGTGTGGTATTGGGAACTGAACCCAGGGCCTTGTGCATGCTAGGCAACTTCTTTACCATTGATCTATATCTCTGGTTCCAGTTAATATTTTTTTAACCTAGGACTTTTGTTTATTGGTTGTATCCTCTTGGGAAAATTATTGAATCCTCCTAACCTGACTTTTGTTGTCTGTAAACTGACTTGAAGATGCGCATTTTAGTAGATTGTGGTAAGGGGTATTCTACACATAAGATGATGGGTTAGTGCCTGACTAAAGGTGTAGATGCACAATAAGTGACAGCTATGCTTTTCAGCTGGCTTTGGAATTTTCAAAATTTGTTCTTTACCATTTATGGTTTTGAAGAGTTTCCTAGCCACAGTCCTACTCTGTAACTGTGAATGAGCCAGGCATGCAGAGTCATAGTGATTTCCCATTCACAGGGATGGTGGAACTGCCAGTTACAGTAGGATGCTCAAAGGGGAAAAGTAGCAGCCTTGATTTTTCTTAAGCACAGTATATCATCTTTTCCCTCGGTGACAGCAAATGTTTTAACCCTGTTCATCTGGTTCAGTGATGGGGAAAATATGGGCACATGTGTTCATAGAAATAGCCTAAGAACTGCATGGTCATCTCAAAAGATGCAGAGAAGGCCTTTGAAAAACTTCACCATGCATTTATGTCCAAAGTCCTAGAGAGAATTGGACTGAAGGGAAAATACCTCAACATAATTAAAGCCATATATAACAAACCCATAACCAACCAACATCATTCTAAATGGAGAAAAACTGGAAGCATTCCCATAGAAATAAGGAACCAGACAAGGTTGCCCACTATCCCCACTTCTCTTTAACATAGTGCTTGAAACTCTTGCAAGAGCAATAAGACAAGAGAAGGAAATTAAAGGAGTAATAATTGGAAGAGATCAAATTATCCCTTTTTGCAGATGATATGATATTATATCTAAGGGATGCCAAAAATTCCACCAGAAAACTCCTAGAAATTATTAACACGTTCAAGAAAAGTGTCAGGTTACAAAATTAACCTACAAAAGTCTGTAGCTTTTCTATATACCAATAACAAGCAATCAGAGAAAGAGCACATGGAAACACTCCCCTTTACAATAGCTGCAAAAAAAAAAAATCTCAGAATAAACCTGACCAAAGACATTAAAGACCTCTACAATGAAAATTTTAAATCTTTAAAAAAAGAGATTGAGGAAGACATCAGAAGATGGAAGGACCTCCCATGCTCATGGATTGGGAAGAATTAATATTGTGAAAATGACCATCCTACCAAAAGTAATTTACCGATTCAATGCAATCCCAATAAAAATCCCCATGAAATTTTTCACAGAACTGGAAAAAACCATCCTAGGATTCATATGGAAGCACAAAAGACCTCGGATAGCCAAAACAACCCTGAGCACTAAGAGCAATGCTGGGGGGAGGATTACTATACTTGATTTTAAGCTGTATTACAGAGCTATAGTCATAAAACAACATGGTACTGGCACAAAAATAGACCCATAGATGAATGGAACAAATTGAAGACCCAAATATGAGTAAATGAAATTTCAGCGACCTGATATTTGACAGAGAGGCCAAGAATATTCACTGGAGGAAAGACAGCATGTTCAGCAAATGGTGCTGGCAAAACTGGATCTCCACCTGTAGAAGAATGAAACTAAACCCCTAT